GGGATAAACAAACCGCTAACATGTAGCTCACAGGACTTTAGCTATCAATGTTTTGCAATGGCATGATTGTGATAACACCCCAACGGCTATATAAACACGCACTTAGCACACTTTCGGTCATTCCACAAGGTGATGCTGTGGTAGCCGGCGAGCAGAGGGGAACGAGGGGAGAGTAAGGAGAGGAGGGAGAAGGGAAAGCTTACGCAAGGTAGGGAGGTTCCGGCGCTTGCCGGGGGACCAATCTGGTGGTTTTAAAAAGTGCCCAAGTATAAAATGATTTCCGTTCACGGCATTGTGCTCGTACTACCTCACCTATCATGGAATGAACTTGTAGGTATTTTCAAGAAAAAGTGTACTTTCTTTCCGAGATTATTAGAAGAATCAAAGTTTTCCAGGCGAATTGTTTTACACTGAACGACAGGCGGCGCGATCTTTTCTTCGGTTAGTGCGTGAGCTGTTCTATCGATTTAGAAATGGATTAGCCAATCGAATCCGATGGCACACTCCGAGCAGCTGATCGATAAGTGGTTTTCTTGCATGAAAATCCAGATGCTTTCAATCGTCGGCTGCTCTCGCCGCGCTGGCGATCTCGACTGTTTGCCGAGGCACATGTCTCTTTACACTTTCGAAGTTAGCTTTCATGCCCAGTTTTTTCTGCTGCCTTTTCGCACAATTTGGAATGTTCGTCGTTTAGGCCGAGTAGCATAGGGGATGGTTCATTTTGAAGAGCTCCAGCTTCGGGATGTTGCCACACTGGGTAAGCACAGGCACTTTATTTGTCAGTGGTTCTTGAAGTCAGTAAGCTTATTCAGGTTGTGGAACGTTTGGTAGGGTTGATCTGGCCTGGAGCGAAGCCAAACAGGAATACTACGCCGTCAAGAAGTTCAACATCCATGAGGTAAGCTAGCCTTCTGCCAGAAATTGATTTGACTTTATGAATCTTTCTAGGGTCTCACACAGTAAAGGGGTTGCTACATTCATATTGTATGAGTAGTCCAGTTTTCCCAGAGGAAAGGAGCTCCGGAGAGGGTCTACTAGAAGTGCAATCAAAATGTTCACGCACCCAAGGGATATCATCCCCGCGCAGAAGATAGAATTTCTGTAAGCGGCGGCAACTGTAATGACCTCCCCTCCCTAGAGGATGAGAGCCAGATTTTATCAGTGCTCTCATCCTCTAGGGGATCCATCCTCAGTGGGACAGCAGCAATTGTTTTCGTTAAAGGCACAACCCAGGCAGAGTTCGTGTGAACGCTTCTCTTCGGTCTGTAGTATAGACCCCTAGAGGACAATCACAAATGTGGCGTTCCCGTGCACGGAAACCAACCGACAAGAGCGCTTGGGCCTTGCAAAGTAAGCTGCTGAAGCTGCAGATTTTTTCTCTTATCAGGCTGTTGTCTGGCTCTCTCATCTGTAGCGCTCTCTCGCCTCATACTCTCCTCTCCGCGCTTAGTCTCTCATTCCCTTAGCACAGCCGATTAGGAAGGTGAGTGAGCCCTTAACCTAAGCGTTTTCGACGGATTCTTTTCCTTTTTTCTTTACTGCCGGCCCATTTCGCACCAATACATTCGCATTCGTGTGCAAGAGCCACACCAATGTGATCCTGGGGCATGCCTTTAAGTGAGCTAGCTGTTATGTGAAAGAAAGGCTTTGTTGGGGAAGTAGTGGAGATGAAAATAATGAAAGTAAGGTGGTAGAACAGATATGACAGGTAGAATTGCTATCACAGGCATGACTCAGGCAAATCCGGGATCTAAAACAGCGCACAGCAGTCGAGCCCTCTACTCTTCCTTGGTCGATTTATCGGTACCAAATTTTTACAGGATGCTGAAAACAGTGAATTGCACATGATTTTCACAATTCATTGTACATATGGGCATAATTGAGACACCTGCACTAACACTCACACATTCACTTGATTGAATTCCATTTCCAGGTGGTACAGCGAAATCGGGCCGAATACGTGAAACGTGAGAAGGAGCTACTTTTAATGTCTTCTTGCCCGTTCGTCGTAGAATTGTGAGCTGATTCTGTTCAGATCCCTGTTGTTTTTGTGTTTATTTATTTATTCATCATTCTAGATTATTTGAGAGATTTCCCGTTTTATTTTGCCTTTAATTTCATGGCATTCATAGTAGATCCATCCCACCTATACATACCGAGGAAGAAATCAAAAAAAGCTCTTCGCTCTCCGCAAAGGTCGACTCTTCGCTTCGGGATACTATTGGTCTCTAGCTTCTGTTCCCAGGCGAGCTCGACCAAGTCTGCTCTAAGTTTTGTTCCTACGTTTTTTAACAGTAGCATGTCCTATGGAACTTGAGATCTCGAAGCGACTGCGCTTGGAATGGTCTAGGGTTCATTTTAAGGTACGGAGTAAAAGTTCATGAGCCTGAAGGTTCAGGTCGCATTCTAGCTAAGTGCGTTATTTTCATTTAACAGATAACATAAAAGAAAGGGGGATCGTTGAGTGGAAAGCAATCGCTCATAGAGCACCTGAAATTTCTTCCTTTGGGGTCAGGTCACCTAAAATTGAGACGCCGTTCATTCGCTCGGAACTAGGACTAAGCCCAATCATAGGCTTAGGCATAAGCCAATGTGTAAGCATAAGCCTTAACCTAAGTCTAAACCCAAACTTAACCTTAAGCTTCAATGATCGCGCAACTGTGGTGACCTGACCCCAGGAGGAGAAACGCACGTCTCCCCTGGACTCGACGAGGAAATAGGAGAGGGAGGACACGCGAGAGCGCATCGTACGCGTAAACGCAGTCGTCGCATATGTTGCAACTAATAAGAATCACAGCGATGCAGTGGTCACGCGAAGGATCAGCTCCCTTGTCGCACCTTTCTAAGTCGGCAGTATCACCACCCCTGTGATTTGGGGGGGGGGAGGGGTTGACGGACTACTTGAACTCGGTCCTTTAAGCCGCCTCAATCCGCTCTCGTCTGCGCTCTCTCACCTTATCAGCGGCTCATGACCACTGTGATCTCACACATTCAAACTTTTGCCACACTGTAATTGGCTCACCCACCTCGAGTCCCTCCCCCTCTTCCTAGGCTCTCACCTCCTTCCTTGGGATTTGGAGCCGAGCCAGGCGCCGTTCTCTAATTGTCTGTGCTCTCCGCCATTCGTGGCAGGACCATAGAAGAAAGTTCAAGTAGTCCGTAAACCTCATTTTGAGAGGAGGTTAGTTCTCACTCCCGCATTTCGTTCGTAGACATACTTGTCCCTCCCATTACTCCCATTACTCTCCCGACAACTAACAGAGGAGCATTCCAGAATATGCACAGGAATGGATCGAATCAATCTCAGTCTTGTAGTGGAATTTGTTCACGGTGGAGAGTTATCCGATTACCTGAACGATATGAACGAGTGAGTAAGTCGAGAGAGATTCTAACATTACATTGAATATAGACGCACGAAAAGATTTGGAGAAATAGAACCTGAGTTCAGGGAAGATCTCCAAACTGCTGTGCGATTTTATTCTGTGGAGATTGTCTGCGCACTTCAACACATTCATTCCAAGAATATTGTGAGTTTCATCATGTTATTGATAGATAAAAGGGGACAGAAATTGGGCGCTCATTGAGACACGCCACGTCTTCTACTTCCATTCAGAATCGTTGTAGTAATTGAAGGCGGGTTTCACGATGGAAAGGCGACCCACTGGAAATAAGTTAGAGATAGTCATGATGCACGAAAGAAGAAAAAAGGGAGAAAAATGGCTAGAACCCCCTTCCTTGTCCGTTGACTTGCGCATTAAAGGACGAATTCACGCTGGAAAGGCAGCCCATTTCAAATTGAGTTAGCGATGGTGAGTGGTCTATCAAGGCTAACGTTTTACTCTCAGGCCGGAAACAGCCCAAAGACGCAGATCACGGAGATGACACAAGAAGGGGGCGAGTCAGTAGCGAGTGCTAGGACATAAACTTCGATGAAAATCATGTGTCGGTCCGCACAGTTATGTTTTTGTCTGCCTCTTCACTGCATAAGTTTTCCCTTCTTCGATCTTGTCCTTATAGCGGAATTCTCCTTTAAAGCAACACCACCAGATTAAATTTGTGTTGTCACAACGCTTTATAATACAGTTGTGGATAACTGAATAAAATGAAATGAAGCAATGAAAACCGGAAATATAGCCCCATTTATAAGAAAGGGGCGGGCCAGGCGAAATTGTACGAGCTTGCCTGCTCCATGGCTCAACTAACCAGCGCGTATTTGAATCAGCAGCTACGTCGTAATCCACATTGCGTGTCATGGGGTGCGCACTACGTAACTCCATGTGCTAAGATTAGACGTTAAATATTGATTTTGAAAATTTCTGATGCCAGTTAAGGAAACTGATAGAATGAGTGGCTTGATTGGCTCGGGCAAAACTCAATTTTTGACTCACATTTGACCATGTGCGTGCTGACTGCTGTCACGTAAACCCTAAACCTACCTCAGCACCACTACAATTGTTTGTTAGTAAATCATACATTAGTGGACAACTTAACCGGAAATGGTAACACGAATTCAAAATAGAAGCGAAGCAGTGATCCTGTCTTTTTCCAAGAAAAAAGGACCGCTTTATCTTATTTATTCTTTATCACATTGATAGGTGTAGTCAATGATAAAAATATTAGAGGGCTTCAGTAGTTGGAATAAGCCACAGTCAATGCCCATATGTTCAGGTGTACCGTGATCTTAAACCTGAAAATCTGCTACTCTCTAAAACGGGCCATGTCAAGATAGCTGACTTTGGACTTGCCAAACTTCTCAGGGGAAAGTAAGTTCATTAACTGTTATTGGATAGTATACCATCACGGAGAAGGTGTTCCTACCCGTCTATTTCTTACGATCTGCTATCGGTGGAAATTGTTTCCAGGACATATACTATATGTGGAACTGCTGAATACATTGCACCTGAAGTGATAATGAAGAAAGGTTACGGCATCGCTGTAGATTGGTACAAGCTTTTTTCCCTCTGCCTTACGTTTCCATTTTTTCCTATTTTTTATTGCCCCTTTTATCATATTTTGTGTGTCGTTCACTATTTGAACAGCTTCCCATCTATCTTATTTATTTATTTACTTTCCGATTTTTATTTATTATTTTATTTACTTTTCTATTTTTTCAGTTTTTCATTTATAATAGTTTGCTAATAGTAATAGTTTGCTGGGGCGGAAGTGGTGTAGTGGCAAGTGGCACGCTTACCACGCGAGCGGTCCGGGGATCAAATCCTGGGTCGTGAGTCGCCCGGGCCAACCAAGCCTTCCATCCCTCCGGGGTCGGTTAATTGGTACCAGACTTGTCTGGGAGGATAAAAACACTGACTTGTACATCGGCTGGCCCCCGCAAGTCATTGTATAGGCCACATCGCATTCAAACGCCACTACGAATGTACAAATGGAAGTATTAGGTTGTACCATAAATAGTGTCGCTTTTTTTCTTCATCTAAATCCCATGCTTCCAGATGGTGTCATATACCACTCGAAAGAGAATTGTCTGGT